TCGGAATATAAGATAATAGTATATCACAACTGACCATAATGTGGCTTATGCTGCTCCTTGTAAGAATGCTATTTTGGTTCAAAATTATGTTTGCAGTAATCTTCACTAAGTGGTATAATATATAGAAAGGGGCCATAATAATTCTTGTAGTCCAAAGCCTTACAATATCAAAGCAAAAGTATTATACTAACTACAAATCCGGTAGATAGTGCAGTTGCAAGCTATAATGATAACATAGTGGTTAGGTCGGGTATATAGGACCACATAAGTGGGGAATGGTAGAGAGACGGTTAGGGAAAAGTATGGGAAAATCGAGAGCGTAGAGTAGAGAAAAAAGCCACAAACCAATATTATAGAGTACTGTCTTGGTTGTTCTCTGTGTCTTTATTTAGAGCATGTTCAGAGAGGTGTAGTCTGTCAGTTCACACCCACGCAAGAGCAAAGGGTGTGACTCCGCCCAGACGCATAAAATACATGATATTTTATACTTGGCTTTTGTGCAAGAAACAAAAGTAGTGACGCTCTCTGCGAAAAGGGCCCTTAACCCAATGAACAACATTTTGCGGTAGCACTACATGCTGTAAATGCACGCATGAGTGATTTTTGTTTTATTGTGCTATTAGGTTGCCATACTCTTTCTCTATCTTTACCAAGTTTACCTCCTATATATATTATGTTTCAGTTCTGCAGTTACGGAGCAGTGTATGCCTGTAGTTCACAATCATGGCTCAGATATGTTTTCGGATATTTTTATAGCATGTTTCTCACATTTTTATTCATTTCGTATGGTCTGTGTTCAAACAAGCATATCTTGAAAATTAGATAAGCATTCACTTTCATTTTTGTTCCAAAGGGAAAAAAGGTGGATCTACAATAATACAAGCAATATCTGTAAAAACATCGACTTAAGGGCCCTTTTCGCAGAGCAGGTCACATAATTTTTATTTCATGGTTGGGGTCTGATGAGGTCGAAAAGATATCCGGTCCGACATCACATACACAGCTTTCCTCCCAGCTCTTTTATACCCCTCAACCCAAGCAGGTTGAGCCTGTGGTCATTGATCAGCGGGACGCTTTCGTGCTTTGGTGGCAAGAGGGTGGCGGGTGGCTTGAAAACAGGATTATAACCTCTGTAGAGAGTCCCACGCAGCTGATAAGGGTAAGGGTTAGGGGGAAGTGCGTGAAGCTCCTCTAATAGCCCCAGCTGAGCGAGTCTGTTCCAGCAACCTGTCCTGAGGTACATGAAGGCCGGAGCACCGGTATCCACTATAAACGGTATCAGCACCACTTTGTCTGAGGTATGTCGGATCGTCTGGGGGGAGGGCATGCTCTTGCAGAAGTACGCTCTTGAAGTGAGAATCTTGCTGCACAGATCAGACAGGGAGTTTCATTGACACCACCTGGAGCCAGGGAGGGATGAACCTATGAAGGGTAAGATCAGTGTCATAATTCGGGGCCATTTTGAAGGCTGTTTTTTCTATGAGCGCACTTTATGTTTTGCAGCAGACACTATTTTCGTTTGGCTCTGTCGCTACATTTATCGCTCTTTTTTCTGATGTCGCTATTTTATGTCGCCAATTTTCAGACAGTATTCCATATGTCGCCGTCGCTGTCGCTACTTTTTTGTCGATACGTATTATGTATTTTATGGCTACTTTTTCGAGGGTTCCGACACAGGCCATTATGATGTAAGAGATTTCTAAAAGTCCGTGATTTCTAACTGATTTTTTGAATTCTTACTGATCTCCAGATTTCCACATAATTTTTCAGATTTCCATGATTTCAAGAGATTTTCAGATATCTGCGTGATTTCTACTGATTTCCAGTGATTTCCTATGTATTTCTAAATTGATTTCTATTGATTTCTCGGTCTCTCCTATAACTGTACACTCCCTCAAGAGAAGTTCCTTACTGGCATGAACAGTAGGCATGTGCCACAGAACACAGAGGCCATTAGCTAATACTGTTGCCTGTGCACATGACAAATCAAGTTAAGTACAGCTGGGAACAGAAACAGCCAGCAAGAAACATCATCACTTCTGTGCCTGAAGTGTAATGTACAACTGCTAGTGGTGTGGTCATTCATGACGGGGAAGAAATTGCTGTGTCAGCATAATTTCGTTTACAATGACGCAATCCCTACCTATGTCTGACCTCCTAGCAGTTTAAGGGGTGGAGTTAATTAGGGCTGGGGTGGGTGTGGTGGCCGCACGCGACAGATAGCTACTCAAAAAATAGCGACATAAAATATATACAGATAAAAGTTGCGACAGTGCAAAAAAGGCAAACGAAAATGGCGTCTGCTGCAAAAAATATGGTGCACTCATGAAAATAGCAGCCTTGAAAAATGGCCCTGAACTTATGACACTAATCTCCATTTATAATTATGGGGACACAAGGTCATGCGCGCGTGATGTGTAGCTAGCTAGCTAGTCGTTCGCGGGTGAATTCTCACAGGTTGTGGCTCCGAGGGTAAGTGGCTATAATAGCGTGTTCTGTGTGTCTCTGTGAGTTTCAATGAGTGTGACGCAGTCGACGTAGCTATGATGATTACTGTCGATTTGCTATTATTTGTGTAAATTATGTGTGGGGAACCTGGACTCACGCTTGGGATGGACCGGGATCGCGAGACGAGTCAAAACGGCCCCCCGGGAGTTTGAGCAATCATGGACGGCATAATGACATGCCTAGTTATGGCCTAATGTTGTTTCAAAGTGGGTGTGTGTTTAGAGAGGGGCCGTCGTGGCGGGCCGGAGGAGCGTAAGAACGCCTACCGCCAGTGTGAGGGTAACGAAAAGCCATTCTCAGCCACTCATGGGCGTATGAACGGAGGCATATGGCATTGCGCGCCTAAGATCCACGAGTATCTATAACATTACCTTGACTCTCAGCTAGATGGCTAGAGTTACTAGCAACAGATGGCTACGAATTACCTTTTTGACCTACAACAATCATACATTACAATAAGTAGCTAGTTTATGCTGACTGGGATGGTATATTGCGACTTGCAGCAGCACAACTTAGAAAGGAGGAAAAAAGAAGAGACCTTACATGGGCAGCACAATGGTCTACGTGACTTGGCCATAGCATTTTCTAACTAGGTTCTATGGTAAGATTTACGATGTGAACATCCTTCCTTCCCGTCCCTGTGTATAGGCAAATAATCGGAAGAATGTAGCCATTTTTGGTGAACCGAGTAAGTACAGGCACACACCACGCTTGTCTGAGAGTACTATAATAATGCGTGTGCTGTCGGACGAATGCCGTTCATTACACTATATAGGTTATGTTAATTAGCCAATAACATTTGTGTGCAGGATACAACTGGGCTTTAAGTGGTATCAACCTTAAATGGCTTCTGGTAAGTAAATACAACAGTCTAAAACTATCAATTATTATTGTATACTTGGTTAACAGATAAATCTACAATGTTTTTGTTTCTGCTGGTGTCTCTTTCACTTGCCCAAGGTAGCTACATATATGGAAGCTATACACTACTAAAAACCTGTAAAACGTTTTATAACTCTCCAGAAATACTCCAGCATCCAAGGAATATCACCGTCTTTGAAAATAAAACAGCAAGTTTCAGTTGTGAAATCAGTGGTGGTTTCCATAGCTGGGCCATGAATAATGTGCCTATAGATGAACTCTCATTTCAGCTACGTAGAAATGTGAATATTTCATTCCTCGCTCTTGAAAATGAGAACCCTCAATACCGACTTACAATAACTGCAAGGGCTGAGTTAAATGGAACTGTAGTTGAGTGCTTGATAAATGGTGGTTTTTCCGACCGGAGTGGTTTGGTTTCATTGACTATTCAAGGTAAATAAATAATGTGATTCATAGGGCGGGTCCAAGATTTTTAAAGTGACACTGACATCATACCTGTCCTAGCTATAATTATACTACATGCTCTTGTTCAAAGTAAAGTAAATACAAACACACAGCAGGTTAATAAATTGGTTGTTGGTGGATATGCCTGCGATTCAAAGACAACTTATGTTTGCTAAGGTCCACTATCAAAGGTTGTTGATTTGAGAGTTATGAGCAATGCCAGCTCAGTTACTGTTTCCTGGACTGCTCCATTCTCTCTGGATGTGACTGATGTTGATCCTGATATCTGGTACTCTGTCCTGGTCTACAATGTGACAGATGAGAACAACACAGCAGCCATCCTCTGTACTGACTGTATCAATATCACTGAGACACACTACACCTTCACTCCTGACTATCCCAGTCATTTTCATCTCTACAACATCTCTGTTGTTCCATTGAATGGGGCTGGACAAGGACTAAGCAGCAGTATTACTGTAGGAGGTGAGTTTTGTAGCCATACCCTCAATGCTAATAGTGGATTTTATTTCATAATTTCAGGAATAAAATTTGCAAGAGAGAGCATAACTGCTGCCAATGATAGCAAACGCAATGTTGTATATAACATCATTGTAAGTTATGCACATCTAGATATTAACTTGTGAGTCAGTGTTCATTGCTTATTGATTATACTAGGGAGATTTTAACGCGGTGACGAGTATTTATTTTGACTATGGGGTTGGAAGAGAAACAAGATATTTTTCCGGTGATGAAGGAGGAAAAGTATTATTTACTCTACCTGCTAAACAAAAGTATTCCGCATCGTTCGATGCTGAATTAGAATATGGAAAGATGGAGAATGTGTCTTCAGATTATTTCAGTAAGATATTAGAAAATATTACAAGTCTGTATATTATGTATCTATGTAGCTACAAGCTCTCGTGTATGTAGTAATGGCTTTTGTGATTTTGCGTAGCAACATTTGACACTCAAAATTTCAATGCTGAGCCAGTTGATGGTGGAATCCAAGTTACAGGAAGATATATAAATGGGTCTCGAGCAAGAGGAAGTTTTCTGGTGATTGAATCATTTCATCATAGTAATTTTATTGTGCTGAAGCGAAATGGAACTGACCAAAGTTTCATGAAGAAAATTCCAATGCCGCCTTCAAGGTACACAGTGCATGCATATGATTTGGAAGAAAATGGACTCCCTAACCTTCATCCTGCTAATCTTGATGAGCAGACCGTAATACTAAATGAAACAGGTAAATCCAGTAAAGAGACTGACTTAGTTGATATCTGAACTGAACTTTTAGGGCAACGGTTTTATTAACTACATAATAATTTATGTAGCTAGCTGGAAGCAACTGCAATTGTCTATTCTTTATCCATTATGGCTGCAGAATATACCTATGTCATCCCGGGAAAATAATTTTGCTACTTTAGGCTCTGCTAGTCATGAATAAAAATATTTATGACACAGTTTGTGTGGGGGTGAAAGGTTTGATACATGAGTAATTTCTCAACATTTTTATGTAATTTTAAACTCACAGATAATTCTACCCAGAGCCCTGAAAGCATTCCAACAATGAAAGCCAGCATAATTCAAAACGGCTATGATGTAACTATTGATTGTGTTCACGATGAAGACAATGCATCATTTGTTGTCATCTACAAAGCTCATGGCAACTCAACGCTGAATTTGATGCACAAAAATAATCTTCCCCTCAAGATACAGCTTAACCGAGCTGAAACAATGAACTATACCTTTGCTGTGTTCCTGATGATCAAAACTGATGAAGAAACTAATGACATTGATGAAAGGGCAGTTATATCGAAGGTGATAAAAGTGGTTGCTGATAATATACCAAGCAGGACAGCCACAAAATTGGCTACCATCGAATTGCCTTCCACTACGGCTGGGCCAACACCGAAGCCATCATTTCCACCAGAGATTGACGGTAAATAATTATGTCTTTCATTTGTAAAGCTGTGGAATCTCCAAATAATGAAAATATTTGGACAGCAATTTTTTTCATAATTCGGAGGTTTTCTTTATTGAGAGGCATGTGTAAAAATGGTAAAGCCAGTTGGTACATGGGAATAAGTTCATTATTGAGAGTTGGGGGAGTTCATTATCGGAGGTTCCACTGTATTATAGACTTGTCTGTAAATGACTTCGTCCCTATGTACATTTGTCTGTCAGCATGTATGTGCATGTGTTTGCTGTGAATCATGGTGTATGTAGTTGTCTGTTGTTGTGTCAGGCCTTCTCTGTGTGCATTTGATGTGTTTTGTACACTTTGCCCCTGCCTTTCAGTTTCAGTGTTTTCAAAATGGATTTTTCTGGTAAAGCTATCACTGTTTATGTTCTAGGGGAGGATGGCAGTGAAGTACAATTTGTTATCGGAGTTACAATAGCACTCGTCATTCTTATTGGGATCCTGACAATTTTTATAGTGTACATTATTGTGTTCCACCATAGGATGAAACTTTTAAAGGTATGTATTTGTATCTGTGAGAGTAGCTACTTCACACTATCATTGGTTCTATTCTAGTCTCATGGACGCAAGCACAAATCGCACTTTCAAGTTCTCCGTGAATGCTGTGGTAGTAACTCCTGCAGTTGTCAGTCGTGTGCGTGCTGTTTCTCTGATTGCTGCGGCGGTGACTATCCCACAAAAGAGATAGAGCAATCTGTGGTCACTGAAAGGAGTACATATGCCACTGTGGTGCCGTTGTACTTAGGAGCGCGACCCCCTCTCCCTCTGGACTCCACAGTCCAGTATTCTGAACTGAACATCAGAGCTACTGATGTTAGCTGATAATCATGTGGTAGTCACATGACTCGTGTTATGTGATCCTCTCTCTCTCCAGAAAATGGCTCAGTGTCCATATGCTGAGTTGGGACCTCCTCCGGCCAATAGGCCAGAAATCAAGAGGATTGACGCCAAGACTGAATCGCCGTATGTTAGCATTGTACCTCAGACCACTAATCCTCTTACGGACTCCTCTGGCTGTGGTTAGTAATTGAATTTCCGTGTAAGTAATTGGCTACCATTGTCATTATACATGTACTATACAGGGATACAGAGTGCACACAAGACAACTCTTATTAGAGGTTTGGTCATTGTGTCTGCATATAATTATATTAAGTTGAAGAAAAAATTTCGCAACATTACCTGTGAAATATTTGCAACAAACTCATGATTTTGTGTTTGCTGCTGAAACGTGAATTTTATCTTAAACAAATATTTCGTGGTAACTATTACGGTAAACATCTCCACTTTAACCTTTCTCACTCTCTCTATCTCCCCAGCACTCCCTACAGTTGAATCAGTGATGTCGCTACTAATGGGAGTGGCAGGTCGTTGGAAGACGATAGCCGAGGGTCTGGGTTTTGATGAGGATCTGATTGATGAGATAGACACCAACAACGAGATGAACGAGGCCTGTCTGCAGGACTGTGTGGAGCAGTGGGTGGGAAGACTGGTGCCATCGTGGGAAACACTATCTGTTGTACTCTCTGATAATGGGGAAGATGAGCTGGCACGCCTTGCTATGAAAAAAGGTTAGAAAGTAGTAAGAAGTTCTAGGCTTTACTAGCGTTGTCACACAACCTTCCTTATCAGACTGATGCATTATATAGTAGCTGTTGGCATTGAACACAAACGTTCCCCATTTATGTAGTATGAGATTAACTATGCACTGAGATATACAATTAAAGTGGCAAGTAGACAAAGAGGGCCTGGGTTCCAAAGCAAATAGTTTGTATAATTATATATTTTTTTAGCCCCACCGCCTCAACCCAGTGAGATGAGTGTTAGTAAGATGGCCACCACAGCTCAGGATTGTGTCTGCTGTGATGCTGACGTGGTGGTGCCTGGAGTTCAGGATGACACATCCTCAACTGGTGACAATGCAAATATTGCAATGGTGAAATGCAATGTGACAATGCAAATATTGATGTAAGTTGTTTCCGTGAAATGATGAATTTCACATCAATTCCTGTTGTCATAATAGTACTATATTCTCAGAATGCTGAACCTTGTTTTGGCCTTGAACAAGATACACCAAGAAGTCTGAGCTGTTCCATGCTTCAAGAGGAGAACCCTATCATTACTGGTGAGGAGCTGCAAGAGATTGAGGCTGGAGATAGTGGTTGCCCAGTGCAGCAATACTCAGTGGAGGATGAAGATCAGGGCAGTGGTAAGCTAATGAACTCGTCACACTTCTATGAGAATGGTGTAACAACATGCATTCTGTCCCAAGAGGAAACATGCTGAGGCACACGTCAACAACATGGTAGCTATCTAGCAATATACACTAGTTTGTAAATGTGGTGTATGTCAGGTGAGCAGGATCAAGACATGCACATTCCTGCTTCCTTGTGCCAGACTCCCACAGCAACATGCTTAGTGTGCCAATGACAGAGTAAGCATCATTAGACACTTGCAAAATTGTACACACAACAGCTTTTGTTAAGGGTATTTAAGGGTTGGTGTTTTTTTACAACACTGAAAGGAACGGATATGTCCCTAAACACAAACAAAAAAACATTGCAGTAGCTATAATATGTGTAGTGCTGTGTAGTGTACAATACTGCGCAGTACTGTGTACAATACTGACGGGAAAAAACATTGCAGTAGCTATGTGCAGTGCTGTGTATATACAATATACAATATTCATGTTGAATGAATAATTTGTATTATGTAGTGTCTAAGACCCCACAAGAAGTATCTGCTGGTGCTATTGCTGGAAAGTGATGGGGGAGTGGCAGATCAGGAGGAAGAATGTATCGTGACTCAAAGTCAGGAGGGAGGGGGTAGTGGAGGGGAAGAAATGGTAACAGGAGTTCATGATAGAAATGTACCTACCACAAACATCAACACCAACAATGAGACCCTTACAAACAGTGGTAATAGTGAGGATAGGGGAGGAAAGGTATGTGTACACTAAGCATTGGAGTACTGCAGTAATGATTATGTTTGGATATCCCAGCAAAATATGTCCACCGATGGTGATTGTTCAGAAGATGGTGTTAGACCAGCTGTTATCATGTGTCCAACTCTCCAAGAGGAAATAACTATTTGTCATGAGGAAACTAGCTCAGAGAACTCAGTTGTAACACCTCCCAATTGCGTCGAGGAGGAAGATGAAGGAGGTGGTTTTCAATCATTTTGTCATCCTTAATTTTTCCTCTTTATGCACACAGAGTCCGAGAAGGTGTTTGTGACAATGAAGTCTGAAATTTTCCATTTTCCAACGGCATCTTACCCTTGTTTTTGCTTGAGTAAGCAACCTTTTCCCCTTGTTCAGTACAATGAATATAATATTATTGGAATTGTATATAACATCAACTTAGATGATCCAAGTATACCGGGCAAAGAAGATTCTCTTCCCAAATTCATCTGCCCTTTGAATGTTGTTTTTGTTTCAGACCCCTATTCTGAGGTTGGTTGCATGTGTGTAGGAAATATATATGAATCACACATCATAATTTTATTGTAGGCTGACGAGAAAGGTGTTTTTACCAGTGAGTTTTGTTACCTACTGAATGCATGCCATTACTCCCTGTCATTGTCATTAATAACAATGAGGTTTGTATGCTCCCAAAGCTATTGTTGGTAAAACAAACAATAGCAGCAGAGATAAGGAAAGTGGAGTAAGGAGTGGTGTTGTAAAAATAAGCAAAAGTGAAACCACAGGTATGTGTGCTCATCTGGTGAAAACATTCGCTGATCCAACACTGAAGTTATATGACATGTATAATAGTTAAAATGATGGCTGGAGGTGTGCGGATGGATGAGTTCAAAAGTTATGATGTCTTCAAAAACATTTTTGACTCACTTTGTAGCTACTTAACGGAAGGTAGAGTTAAACTTGGGGTTTATAATATGTTCCTTCAAATTCTAATGGTCTTCAGTTTTGGAGAGGATACGAAGAGAGGTGGACATTTTAAGAGCCAAACATGATTATTTCTCTCAATTCCTAATTGCGGAGAGTATAGATGAACAGGCACTACTGGAATCAATTGGAAAATTTTACAGCTTGTACAATGGAGATGGTTCAGTGGTTGCATCTATGCCCACAAGGAATTATCAGTGGCTGGGACGTCCAGGTCTGCCAGATAAGATTTGTGTTATCTAAAGAGCTAGTGATTTCAACCTATATTATGTAGATATATTCCATAAAAAGTTTGCGAAGTGGATGTATGCAGGAGTGGCTCTGGGATTCCATGGACTTGATAAACTGATATATCTGAAGGCTACCCCACCTTGGGCTGCGGCTCTAACTGGGTGTTTTGGTCTGACTCTAATGTCAGGCGAAGGGTATATAGCTGATCGTGACACACTTTAACATTTTGCTGTTAGCTATCATGGAACATCTCCTGATTTTAGCAAATGCACTGTCTTGTATATTATTACAATGTTTGTGTTGCAGTAAAACTAACGACATCATACGCGTGACAGTTTTGAATCAACCTCAAGAGATTACTATGCATGTGTGGGAAATGATGTGAATCAACCTCATTAGATTTTGTATGCATGCAGGAAATGGTGTGAATCAATCGCGACCAGGGAAAGGGCTACGTCATAATTCCCGTTATGTCTTACAGAGCTAGCGGGATAGAAAAAATAGCTAGCCAATCATGCCATCATTGAAGCCATCAAAGTTTGCAAACATGACTGTGTATATAGCTACACTGAAACAACAGGCATTTGGCCTTTTGACTCATGTGTACATACGGACCTTTACTGTTAGTATGGGGCACTTGTTGAGCCGTAACATGAGAAAGGACACACCTGTGTAACCAAGCATACAACAGAAGCTACATGACTCCGACCCACGTTGTCTCACGCAACCCTGAACATTCCTCACCTGCCCCTGACTTACATACCCACATGTTATCCTGTTCCCCTATATAACTCGCCCCTTACACTCACACACTACTATAAAAATTCATAATTATGTGTGCTCGACCGGATATCGGTATTGCTATATCTGAGGCAGCTGTTGAACGGCGCAGAAGCCACACTACAATTGGTGTAATTGGTAGGATGGCAGCGAAGCCGGTGGTTCTGCCAGAACCCTTTAACGTGAGACAACGTGGGTCAGAGTCATGTAGCCTCTTTCTGCCTGGTTACACCACCTGCATATATACACATTTCCAAAGTTGCCAGTATAAATGGTACTGGCCCATGGATACACACTATTCGCAATGGCAAAGTGCCTAGTTTTGGTGGAACATCCAATAACGCGATAAGGGACCCTCCGAGATAAGGACGACCTCTACACTTGTTTCAACCCATGTTAATATTTTTACTGTATTATTATTACCTCTGAGATAGGGACGACCTCTCTACAAGGGACAAAATCATTGGCCCCAGAGTGTCCCTTCTTGGGAGGTTCTACTGTAGCTAGGAGTCTCTTAATTTAAAGACAATAAGATTTCAGGGAGACAGAAGCAAAAACAACTTTATTTGTTTGGAGTGCAATGCAAAACCACAAGACACAAAAAGCTACATTATTCAAGATGGTAGTTGGTCTAGTGCCATCTGTATCTGTTCAGCCATAAGTAAGACTTTGCTCTTCCTCAGAGTTGCAATGAGGCTCTCCCACGACACCTCCACCCCCTTCCCTGCCAACCAATCCCTGAGAACCTCAATTGCGATCTTCTCTGGATCCCTCATAAACTTCTCCCTCATTATAGCCATCTTGTCCCCAGTCTCATCGTTGAGAAGGAAGGTTCCAAATGTCTCTAGCTTTTCTGTGACTCGCAGAGGCAAATCCATCGCAAGCAGTTGTGGCAAACTTGGATGTAAAGATGAGACTAAAGAAAGGAAAGGATTAATACACACACTAGCCATACTGTGTTCAACTGCATACCTTTTAAAGCCGGTGCAGTTGCAGCTTTTTTCTTTCGTGTGTTACCTATCTTGGTGTGAAGCTGCAATAATGAAAGAACATTATTATGGGTTTCTTTAGGATTGAAGGATAACTCACAGTTTGGGGGAGCAGGAAGCCACATTTCCTGGTCGGGAGTTATAGGACTAGTCACACTGTCTGGACTAATGGAACATGTGAGTAAGCCGTGAGTGGAATTGGCTCTGGCGAAATGAGGTAAGGTGGAGCATTGCGAGCTTTGCACGGGGCAGAGAAAAGACAATTCAGGCGTTCTAACCTCATAGTGAAGGTTTTGCATTGCTTGTTTTATTGCTACGACAAAAGTCTCACGGATTTCCCGATAGAGCATGGTGCGATGCTTAGTTCTAACGACGTCTGGAAACTCAACTACAACTTCCAGGTATGATGAGAGGGGATCGAGGAAAGTGAGTTGTCCTGGAAGTTCCTGAGGAAGCTGAAAAGTGATGCTGTTCCTAGCTACCTGAACCACCTCTCCACCCTTGCTTAAAAGCTTCCAACCGGCTTTGGTCAAAAGGTAAGAGATGGTGCAACAGTAAATTCCAAGCATCGGGCTCTTCTTTGAGAAGTGGAGGACAAAGGAAGATCGGATGATGCTATTTGCAGGAGGATTTGGTGGGTATATATCGTTTACCTCAAGAACACAAGGCATGAGGTATTTTCCCTCCCCAACTTTGGTGATAATGTAAAGTGACTGGAGAATTTTTAGCAGGCATTCTTGTGTGAAGTACTTGTTATAGTGCTTGGAGCAGGCTTTTGACTTTAGTATATCGAGCGAAACGATGCCTTGTTGGTTGAAATTTCGATCTGCTCCTTTAAGGGGGTGATTTCCTTTCTTCAACTCGAGGCTGTACCTAATGATCTCCGTAATTTTATCTAGGATCACTTGACAGCTACCAAAAATAACATCGGGAAGGATATCATAGAAGGATATAATGTTGAGCTCACGCAAGTAATTGAGGCAGGCTATAAGCGATAGGCCATCGAAGTCAAGATGATAGCCAACAAATTCACACTCCTGTAGACTTAGAGTCTGACGTCCGAGGGATTCCATTAGTTTCTGCAGTGCTACTTCGAATCCAAACCACTTTAGGGGGATATTTTTGGACTCTATTTGTGACTTCTTGGTTAAAGCTTTCTTTAGCCGTCCGGCAGTCTCGTAATCATGGGCACTAGGCGTTCTTGTGTTCAACCGGAATGTAACATGTTGCAGTGATTCGCCGTTGCTTATTATACATTGTTGAAGCTCTTCGGGGAGGATTTCTGTGATAATTGAATGAAGCAACTTATCTTTTTGGTCAGGCGTTTCGTCTGTGCAAGCATCCTGCTGATCAAGAAATGTGCCCACGAAAGCAAGATTAGGCATCTCGTTAAAGGATTTGTTGCAGGCTTCAGACTGCAAGGCCAGCAAATCATGACGAATAACCTGCTCGTTGGTGAGGTATGACTCGTAAGGCTCATTGGCCTGCTCTCCTTCCTCGTAGAAAACAACTTCTCCGTGGACGTCAAGGCGTTCAGACAGCTTGAAGACTGAGATTATGCCCGTAACAGCTGGCAGGACAATTGAGACGACTTCATGGAACTGTGGCTGCCCTCCCGAGTCAAGGAGGCGAATGGAGTAGTGCAGCACAAGATCAAGTACCTTATTCGGCTCGCGCATTAATTCTTGGAAGCTGTCTTTAATTCGGGATACGAGAATATCAATGTGCTCTGGATCATCACCAAGAGACTTGGTGAGAGATTTTTTAAGCAATGAGCTAAGCTTCGAAACTAATCGAGAGGCCAAGCGGGGAAGACCTTTCTTTGATTTTAGAAATGCACTAGGGGGTTGATTTTCCCTGTCATGCTGGCTTTGATGTTGGGTGGTATCTTTAGATACATTATTTTCAGGTGTAAGAGAGGGCTCTTCGTCCTCTGTAGTAACGCCCTCTTCTACTTCTTTGTGAAGAAGATGTCGACTGGTGTGGGCTACCATGCGTGCCTGACGGTCGATGTCCACCATTTCCCACTGGTCGGTGAACGTTGATGTTGACACATCTCGGACCGGACAGAGGTGTATGGACTCCTCTGCGACTGGTGTGCTGACACGAATAAGCTGCCTCCGTTTTCCAAGAAACAGGTCAATAAGACTCGACTTGCCCACCCCTCCCGGTCCATGGATAAGGAACACGTCGTCTTTGTGGGGAATGTACCCATCCTTGAGGGCTGATTTTAGGTACTTTTTTGGAGTATCTGCATGATCAAGTTACATATATAGTAGAGAAAGTTTCATCTGCAGTTAACTACTAATAACTTTGAACTAATTTTCGTTGCTCTTAAAGTTGCAACCTGATTAGTGTATGCACCGAACTGGGCCCTAAGTCAATAGCATTATTTTATCTACTCCTCATACTCATGATTAATAATTGAATATCAATTTCTTTATTAGTGTATGTACCTTTATTGAACTGTACAATGAAAAGAGCATCAGAACAATTATGTTTGCACGATGCACATTATATAGTGTCTGCCCGATTTTGGTCACTGATACAGTTTTAGTTAAAGTAAGTATGCCAAAACGCAATTAAGACTATGTGCTATTTAGAACTAGAAGCCGCTAGCTGGCAATTAGTGATGAAACTTCGAATTCACAACTAATACATAGCAAAGAGAGTCTCAGAACTCTGGCGCTTTTAAAGAGAGTCTACTGCGATAAACTTATGTGAAGACCAGCAGATCACGCATAATCTCTAAACCTTGCTTTGCCAACTGTGTACATACATCCAAGAAGACCTTGCTTTCCTGCTGTAGTTTTGCTGGTGCAAAGTAGCTTGTAAGGCAGGCACATTAACGAAGATGCATAATCACTCTTGG